GGTTTTGGCACTGTGAGCAGGTGCCAGGTCGTGCTGAAAAATGAAATCTTCATCTCCATAAAGCTTTAAAGCAGATGGAAGCATGAAGTGCTCCAAAATCTCCTGATAGCTAGCTGCATTGACCCTGCCCTTGATAAAACACAGTGGACCAACACCAGCAGCTGACATGGCACCCCAATGACTGTGGAAACTTGACACTGGACCTCAAGCAATGTGAATTGTGTCTCCTCTCTTCCTCCAGACTCTGGGACCTTGATTTCCAAAGGAAATGCAAAATTTTCTGACGCAGTCTCTTGTTCAAAAGTGGCTTGACCTGGGGAATGCGGCACCTGTAGCCCATTTCCTGCACACGCCTGTGCACGGTGGCTCTGGATGTTTCTACTCCAGACTCAGTCCACTGCTTCCGCAGGTCCCCCAAGGTCTGGAATCGGCCCTTCTCCACAATCCTCCTCAGGGTCCGGTCACCTCTTCTTGTTGTGCAGCATTTTCTATCACACTTTTCCCTTCCCACAGACTTCCCACTGAGGTGCCTTGATACAGCACTCTGGAAACAGCCTATTCGTTCAGCAATTTCTTTCTGTGTCTTACCCTCTTGCTTGAGGGGGTCAATGATGGCCTTCTGGACAGCAGTCAGGTCGGCAGTCTTACCCATGATTGCGGTTTTGAGTAATGAACAAGGCTGGGAGTTTTTAAAAGCCTCAGGAATCTTTTGCAGGTGTTTAGAGTTATGTCGTTGATTCAGATGGTTAGGTTAATAGCTTGTTTAGACAACCTTTTCATGATATGCTAATTTTTTGGGACAGGCATTTTGGGTTTTCATGAGCTGTATGCCATAAACATCAGTATTAAAACAATTAAAGACCTGAAATATTTCAGTTGGTGTGCAATGAATCTGAAATATATGAAAGTTTAATTTTTATCATTACATTATGGAAAATAATGACCTTTATCACAATATGCTAATTTTTTGAGAAGGACCTGTACCAGCTGGTGCTAGTGCGCCATCTACTGCTGGCAACATGGACTTTGTGGCCAGCAGCAGTGACGCACGAATGAGCAAACGGGTGGTTAAACTTTCTGCTAAAGCAACTGCTGATAGGTTAGATAAATTGCAAAGTGGTAGAAAGGCTAAGCTAAATAAAGCTAGCAGTTTAAAGAAAAGGTTACAAGGTTTAATTGAAAATGGTTTGCTTTCAGGTCTCAGGTCTTCAGGTCTCAGGTCTCTCTTGTAAATGAGTCCTCGAGACTCAATGGGATTTACCTGTATAAATAAAGGTTGATTGATTTCAGATGTACAAAAAAGTCTCTTGTTGGGTATATTGACTTGTGTGTTGAAATAAGATGCATGCATGATTCACTAATGGCTTTATTGCCAGTTGAGGAGCAAGAAAAACATGAAACATGGTTTTAAGTAAAAATTATGTTCACTGATGACTTTATTGAAAGTGTAAAAGAGTGGGTTAAATCCAAATAAGATGCGTCTAAAAATTAAGGTGCAGGGAATTTGAATATTGATGATGATATTAATCATGATGGGGTGGATAATGATGATGATATTGACC